CAATCGAGTCAATGCTAATTTTTACGTCAGGATTGAATAAGAAAAAAATAGTTGAGAGATCTGCCTTAAAGGGAGGATTTCACGTTAGTAACAATCTTGAGTTAATCAATAATCAAGTCATTACGTAACTACAATAAATGGAAATTTTGCTTCCAATTAATTAAGTGCAAGCAATATCATTATGGTTCACTTTTGAAGGATAAAATATTATTAACTACTAATGGGTGTTGGAATTAGTCACTCAATGGGTGTTGGTTCTTGACTTGACCATTTTGGTCTCGTTGCTTCCAGGTAATAACAACGTGTATCATATGAACCCTAACGAACAAAAAAGAACAAACATATAAAAAAACGTGTAAAACGAGTCTTGATTATGTTCTTTTAGGGTTGAAATTGGAGTTTTAATTTACAACTTTCGGTTTTTAGAACTATTATTATGAGATTTACAGGAAATCGGTTTACAATCATAAATTTTATACATAAAATTTAAAGATAGTTATGTGATAATATTATAATAATAATAATAATGATGATGGTAGAACAGACTCAATAAGTTTAATAGCTCATATTGGATCAATTTTAACCCTCATTATTTGATTTATAATAGTTTACCATAGCACATATAGGTTTATTTGGTTTGTCATTCGAAAATAGTTTTTAAATAGTTTACAAAATAAAAAAATTATTTTCAGAGAGTTATAAAAGATAGTTATTTGAAAACAAAAGGTTTGCTTACTTTGTAACTTTGAAAACAGTTATCAAGAATTTAGAAAACAGAAAACAGTTTTCAAAGAATAATAAAAGATATTTTTCTAAAAACAAGTATTTTTATAATTGAGTTTTCATAAAACAGAACCAAATAGAGTTTTTTTTTTTTTTAATTAGAGTTTTCAGTTTTCTGAAAACAGAAAACTGTTCTTAGAGTTACTAACTGTTGGACACAACGGAAGTTCTGATACCAATTTGTTGGGCAGCAACGGAAACCTTTGGCACCAATCTATTGTGCAGAAGTGACCCAAATAAATATACACACAATGATGGCAAATCCTAATAATAGCAAGATATGAATAAATATGAAGAGAAACACACCACAAGACAAGATTTATACGTGGTTCACTCTCACAAATAGGGTTATGTCCACAGGCGATGATGATCCATATTACTATATAGAAGAAGATTATAAATTGAAGAACGTTTTGGTTCTTCCAGACAATAATCACTCTTCTCACAACAAAACGTCACCCACCAAACGAAGAAAAACTCACTGAACGCTTTCAAGAAAAATCCCTAATAATTATATAGTTTACATAAAGAAGAAAATACACCTAAAGACAAACTTCAAATATCTCTCTTGAAGATTGCACACAAAAGAATTTCTTCACACAAAAACCAATATAACTTATTGTGACTCTACCCTCTTGATCAGAATATCTCTCTGGGATCTCAGAAGGATCTCACCGAGATCTCTTTAGGATCATCGTATGATCTCCCTATAGGATCACACCGGGATATCTTCTTTTGTTGCGTGTTTTGCCTAATTTATAGGCCAAAATTGCCGCCTTTGGATACCTTACTTGTCGTTGGCACAAAACAATTTAGTCCTTATCAATTACTTTCCTTAAAGTTTGCTTATTGCTTTATCAAACCCCTAGCTTGTGCATTAAGCCATCCACATGGCCATACAATTGACCACCACAATTGTATCATTCAACCAATGAAATTCTGCCAAAATCCCAACAATCTCCACTTTGGCAAAATTTCTCCACCTTGACACAAATGATAAGGCACTACCATAAAGAGTCTTTCTCCACCAGGATGTGAGTAATAGTCATAAAAAACGCCATCATCATCGCCATCGAAAAACCAAATTAATGAAAAATTTTAGTTAACTTTGAGTCATCCTCAAACTTAACCCTTCGGAAGAATTTTAGTTAACTTTAAGTCATCCTCAAACCTCACCCTCGGGATCTCCTTCTTTAATCCAAACACGTCTTGCGTAGCCACAAGCATGCCTCCATTATTTTTGTCAAACTGTAAATGCTTATCAAAAGTACCATCAGAAATTCTAAGTTTGACATCTCCTCTAGCAACCTTTGCCAACCACCCACAAACTGCCGACTTGTAATGAAAGTCATCTCTCACCCTTGTGGAGAATAGGACGTCTTTGACTTTCCCTCGCATTTCTAATGTGATCAACTATTTGTTTCCCACGCATCTTAATGGCACTTAAATAGGCTATGTTATTGTCACCAAGATTGTTACAAGTCACCACCACATCTGTCCTCACGGGTCTACCTCCTTATAAGGACTGTTGCAATTTCGGTTGCCATCTGAAAATAGATTCCTTTCTCCTATAACATTGTGCAGCCCCCTCATAACCTTTTTGAGAACTAGGATCGTCACTCTTTTTATAATATGCTTTCATATAAAGCTTATCATATTCGTCTTTCTTCGTTGGATCAAGATTATCGTCCAAGGTTTTTATCAAACCTTCCTTAATAAGAATATCATTCACCTTAACTTGCCACATTCCAAAGTTGTCCTTTCCATCAAATTTCTCAACTTCATATCTTATGGATTTGGAAGCTATCTCAAAAGACCCTAGTTTGCAACCTAGGATCTAATACCACTTGTTAGGCATAGCAGAAGCTTCTGATACCAATCTGTTAGATAGCAACGAAAACCTTTGACACCAATCTGTTGTGCAAAAGTGACCCAAACAAATATACGCACACACAATGATGGCAAATTCTAATAACAGCAAGATATGAATAAAGATGAAAAGAAACACACCACAAGACAAGATGTATACGTGATTCACCCTCACAATTAGGGTTACGTCCACAGGTTATGATGATCCGCATCACTATATAGAAGATTATTACAAATTGAAGAACGTTTCGGTTTTTCCAGACAATAATCACTCTTCTCACAACAAAACGTTACCCACCAAACGAATAAAAACTCATCAAACGCTTTTAAGAAAAATCCTCAATAATTATATGGTTTACATAAAGAAGAAAACCCACCTAAAGAAAACTTCAAATATCTCTCTTGATGATTGCACAAAAAAGGACTTCTTCACAAAAAAAAAAAAAAAAAATCAATATAACTTATTCTGACTCTACCCTCTTCATCAAAATATCTCTCTCGGATCTCTAAAGGATCTCATCGGGATCTCTCTAGGATCACCGTATGATCTCCCTATAGGATCACACCGGAATATCTTCTTTTACTATGTGTTATGCCTAATTTATAGGCCAAAGTTGTCGCCTTTGGATACCATACTTGTTGCTGGCACAAAACAATTCATTCCTTATCAATTACTTTTTTTAAAGTTTGCTTATTGCCTTATCAAACTCTTAACTTGTGCATTAAGCCATCCACACGTCCATACAATTGACCACCACAATTGTATCATTCAACCAATGAAATTATGCCCAAATCCCAACACTTACCAAGCAGGCCCAAATCTTTTCTAAGTGAGTTATTAAAAAATAGTTTTAAGAAACTATTAACCAACTAGAGTGTTGTACAATTTTTAGATTTTCAGTTCTCAAAAAATAAAAAATTGAACCAAACAACTTTTAAAAATTATTATCTCATCTATTGTAGGCTTAATCCTAAACATACACTTATCAACTATTCAAGCCAACAAATACACCTATTCTAGGTCAACAAGTGGTTCAATCTCCTTTTTACAAACTTAAGGTGTTTATGTAAAGCTCCACATTCTACAAATAAATTAGGGGAGACGATATTGAAAATTCAGTCACTCCACTTCTTGGAGACTTCAACTACATTATTATAGTGGCGAGCTTGACTCGTAGTTTTTACTGTAATATATTATTATTTTATTTGCATTTACACATACATATAATATCTTTTATTATAAATTCAAGAGAGAGAAGAAAAATACACTAATCTCTCCTAGTATGTAATAAAAAATAACAAACTTTATCTTTTTTTCTTTCTTATCTATTGTTTCCTTGAATTAGGTTTTTATTTTTATTTTTATTTTTTTATAGTCTATTATTTATTTATTATTATTACTTTGTGTGTGTGAGAAAGACATAAGGAGATAGCGTACCACTCCAAATAGGAGAGAGCAACTATTTAACTCTCTAAATAAAATAAGGAAAAATTCAAGTGCCAGTCATATTTCCTATTTCAACACAGCCATCAGAAGGGTTACCGACGTTGAGTGGCCAAATTCTGGAAAATGACTAATATACCTTTGGAAAGGCATATTCCACTTTACTATTATTACACAAGCCTCCATTATCAGTTTGTTATGAAGAATTTGATCTGCAACCATTTTTGTTGCAATTTCTTCACGCGTATACGTGTTTGCATTCCTTCAAAAACCATGTTCTCTTCGTAGGCTTTGACTTTTCACCTCGCCCGCCACCCTCAATATATATATATGTGTGTGTGTATGTATGCGTGTGTGTGTATATATATATATCCTCAACCTAAATTCGTTTCCATATCAGTAGCCACAAGTTTTCTCAATTTGGTAGAATTTAAGGCAAATTATGAAGATCTCATGTTTCCTACTCAGAGTGCTGAATTAATTGTTCCACAACAGAGAAAAACGGTATTATTGTTCAAAAATATGACTCAACGAAGTCACCTGATAAGGTCAGTTTACTTTTTAGACTGTCATTCGACAGCTGAGGGGTTCTTTGTAAAAATAAAAAAATAAAAAAGGAGGTTTATTGGAGGGATTTAATGCAATTCGTCCTTTCTAGTTTTCTTATTTAATAAGGATATAATGATATATTAAGTAATAGTAATTTTTCCAGATTATTTTGAATATAACATATAGTCGATATATATATAGTTATTCTTGTACAGGTAGAGTTTGTGTTGAAATAGAATTAATTTGTTGGAATTTATTATTTTATAGTGGCAGAGTTCTTTTAGGAATTTAAATTGCGCGCGCGCGCACACACACACACACACATATATATATATATATATGTATACACACACGTGATTGAGTAAAAAAAAAAAAGGGGTGAGGTATTCAGAGTTTTATAAGTCGTCCTTTCTAGTTTTCTTATTTAATAAGGATATAATGATATATTAAGTAATAGTAATTTTTTCAGATTATTTTGAATATAACATATAGTCGATATATAGATATATAGTTATTCTTGTACAGGTAGAGTTTGTGTTGAAATAGAATTAATTTGTTGGAATTTATTATTTTATAGTGGCAGAGTTCTTTTAGGAATTTAAATTGCGCACACACACACACACACATATATATATATGTATACACACACGTGATTGAGTAAAAAAAAAAAGAAAAAGGGGTGAGGTATTCAGAGTTTTATAAGTTACTAGTAAATTTTTTTTCCCCTTTCGCTCTCTCCTCTTACCTGTCAGAGATCCGAACATCAATTATACATAAGTAATTAAATGCTATTTGTTACTTACCAAAAAAAAATCAAATCCTTTTTGTGAATATGAATCACAAGAATCTACCACTACATGGGCTAACAAGGACAAAAGGTGAAAGAGCCAAAGACTACTCTGGCTTTGCCACAATACGCCGCAAAGCCAGTCTCTTTGGAACAATGTTGTCCCTGTTCTTGTTGCTTCTTCTGTCCTGTGCCTGGTTCGTCACTCCTTCAAAAATACACCTCCAACAATTCCAAAAAATTTCACACAACAACAACAGCATATTCATCTTAGCCGGACAGAGCAACATGGCGGGAAGAGGAGGTGTCATTAACGGCACCTGGGACGGCATTGTCCCAACCCAATGCCAGCCCAACCCGAGGATCCTCCGGCTCACGGCGGGGCTGGAATGGGAGGCTGCGCACGAGCCCCTCCACGCCGACATCGATGTCAAGACTTGCGGGGTTGGGCCTGGAATGGCGTTTGCTAATGCGGTGCTGACTAAGGAACCGAGGTTGGGGAAGGTGGGTTTGGTGCCCTGTGCTGTTGGAGGGACTAAGATTGATGAATGGGGGAGAGGGGGTAGGCTTTACAATGAGTTGGTGAAGAGGGCAGGGGTGGCGTTAGTGGGTGGTGGGTCAATTCGCGCCATTCTGTGGTACCAGGGAGAGACTGATACAGTGATACTACAGGATGCAGAGGTGTATAAGCAGAAATTGAAGACTTTTTTCTCCGATCTGCGCTCTGATCTGAAGTCTCCCTCGGTGCCTATATTCCAGGTAACATTTTGCCTTCTCAACAACCATACATAGGACTCATTCAATTTTTAATGCTTTTGTGCAATTGATGTCAAAAGTTAGATCGGTATTCAATCTATGTCTTCTGGGTCTGGTTCTTTGTTCGTAAAGAACCATGACTATAATTATAATAAAAAGTGAACACAACGGTAAAATTGCTACATTGTGATTTCAATGATCGAAAACAGCCCATCCATAAAAAGGTAAGAACGCTTACATCCAATAAGCTAACATCATGATTCCTAACTTCTCCTGTGCATTGGACATGGAGAAAAAATCAATTCGCATAGTATTATTGGTACCCTTGCTGGAAAATGACCCATGAACCTCTCTAAATATATAGAGATAGTTTCGCAATCTTGAGCCTAACCAAACAATAATGGCACTACTCAACTAGATTTAGAATTGCTTGATTAATGGTTTTTTATTAAAAAAGGAAAAGCATTTTTGTAGTAAAGAGACACTGACCCAACAAATAAAAGTATAGGGTCCCAGTCTGCCAGCTAAATTGCGTGTGTGTATATATATATATATATATATATATATATATATATATATATATCTTTGTGCTTGTATGATGAATTTGGTCTGTTGTGTACCAAATAATTTATATATCATTTGTTGGTTATGGTTAGGTGGCTTTAGCATCAGGACAAGGGCCTTATACAGAGATAGTGAGAGAAGCGCAGCTGAGGGTGAGTGCTGAGCTTCAGAATGTGAAGTGTGTGGATGCCAAGGGGCTGCCACTGGAACCAGATGGGCTGCACCTCAGCATGCCGGCCCAGGTCCGACTCGGAGAGATGTTGGCTGATGCATTCCTGCAGTCCATTCCAAGCCCAATGCAAAGTCATGCTCCAACAAGGTTTAACTATTTTCTTTCTAACCTTTTGATTGTCCCATTATTTACTACCCTCTTGCTGATCTCGACCCTTGATCTATCTTTCAGTTGAGTAGTAAAACTGTTAATACTTTTTTTTTTTGGTTTTTCTAATTGATACTCACACACACCTCTAATAAATTATTTACACCTAACAAGAATTGATCCCAAAACCTGATGTTACTGATGGGTACAATTCAATTGTAGCAATAATTATTACCTTAAGCTTGCAAATAGAAAAGGGATAGGAAAATTTGTCAGATTTCAACTTTTGATTCTTTTCTTCCTGAATTTGTATACTACTTTTTTGCTTAAATATACTTGTTATTCACAATACTTAAGATATTGGTGTGTTTTTTTTGTTTTCTTATCCTTTTCTTTGAAGGGAAGATATAAAATTTTCAGAACACTAAAGAGAAGATTAAGAGGATGCAGATATACAGACCAGTAGAAAGTACTAGTGGGAAATGATGTGTACTTTTACTAGTGCTTTGCTGGTGCACAGTTTTTTTCAAATTTTCTTATCATGTATATAATAATCATTCACTAATTAATTTCATTCACAGCCTGTGGGTGTCAATATTTAATGTTTTGTAGAGATGACAATGAAATGTGTACTAAAATTTGATTATGCTTGGTGACAAAATATGGTTGTCCACTTTTATTGCCTCGTTCAGATGATGCTAAGTTGGTTTACCTGCAACAATAATAGCGACAGGACAACTCTCCAATCCATTCATTCTAAACAAGGCAGGAAAAATGCTAAATTTCGTTGGGCCCAAAACACAAAATAAAAAGAGGTATATTAGACAAAACAGTCCATAAACGGACCCAACATGAGATACAGAAGAGTCCATACTAACACAGCCCAAAAATACTCTCTCTCTCTCTCTCTCACACACACACACACAAATGTAACGGAGTGGAAGCTATGAATGTTCACAAAGGAATGATAAGCAACTTTGAATTGAAGAGAAAATTGCAATATGATATATTATTAATTAAATAGTTAAATTATTATTATTTTTTATAGTTGGTACTCACACACACATATTTTCACTGAGGCTTAAACTCTTGACCTCTCTTTGAGAGGTAAGGGTCTAGTACTGTTAGGTCACTAAGTCTGTTGATAATAGTTAAATTAATAGAGAAAAATTAATGTTAAAAGAAACCTAGCAGTAAAATAAAACTAAAAATATAAGGAAACTAAAAATAGAAGATAATCTAGAAATAAACTTTAAAATAAAGTCTATCTAAAAATTCTGAAAAAATAGAATAACAAACTTAATAACTAAAATCTACTGAATATAAAAATTCAGAACAATCCAAATTCATTTCAACCTCGAAAATTTTTTTGAAATATTCATCGGTCTTTGTAACAGATTAAAAAAAATGCAATTTTGGAGTCCTAAACGAAGATTTTTTGCCTAAAAATGACATGGGGTCCTGCTTAATGGGTCGTTCTCACCAAAAGAATATATATGTATATTTTATTATTTATAAAAAATGGACTTATTGAATTGACGAAAATTTAGTCCTATATCAGTCCCTTCCACTTTAAAAAAACTCGTTTTCCGTGAAGTCTTGCCTGATACAAAATCATATTTTTCATTATTATGAGAACCTCCAAAACACGATACCAAAATATCTTGACTGACACTTTCTAGAATAAAATTCTCATCACTCACAATCCTAGTTAGTTAATTCACGTATGATACGTGAATTAAACGCGTACGTACGAATTTTAGGAAAATACTTCCGTTTGCTGATCAGAGTAGAAAGATACGGTAAAATACACGTTTTTTTTTTTCCATCACTCTGTATTTAACGCGTTTATTCATTTATTCGATTTGGTTGTTCCATTTAATTCGTAATCTAATTATTTTTTTTTTCTTTTTGTTCACGAATTTCACGTTTCTAATAGTGTATTTTTCTGAAACACAAACTACAGTCTTTTCTACCCTCTTTTGCTTGGTATAGCCATTATTTTTCACGCTATCAAAATAATGTTATTTGAAATGCAATGTTGGACAAGGTTGTGACCACTCTCTCACTCAGTTGTTCTTGTTGGGAAACGTGCAAGTTTTTAAAACTTTTTGAGAGATTTTCATACATAGATCTTGATTCAAACATAGAGACAAGTTTTATGCAAAAATAAAATATGATGTATCATTCAATTAATAGATTGAATACTTACATCAAGGTTTGAGTAAACCTTAAATCTCTCCTCTAAAGTGAATATTCTCACTTATTGTAGATCCCTTTCCTATATGCTTTCTCCTTGGATCTCCATCTTCTTGGTAATGGTTTTGCCTTTAGGAATCACCCATAAGCCTCTATGAATGACTTTGGAAAATAAGGCTTGTGGGAGCCTCCATTAGATGAGAACAATTAACCTTAATTTTCTAGAGAGAGAAAATATATTACTTTTTCCTTCTTCCAAAAAATCACTCCTAAAATATATATAAACTATGTATATATAGCAAACATAAATATAAGGAAAAGAAAATAATAAATCCTTCTCAATCTCTAATTCACATGTCTCAAATCTAATAGAATTCCAATATCTAGTTGGGACATGAGTGAGAATCCTTTGGGCTTATTATTTCATTGACTACAATACATTAATAATTGGCCCGATCCATGGACCAAATTTAATTAATTCATAAATTAGTTTTTACTTTACTAAAAGAAATTAATTGAACTCCAATTAAATAATAAATAACTTCTAAGTCAATGTTGCACTTTGACCCCTCTATGCATAATTAGTTATCGGATAAATAAAGCCATCAATTCGACTACTTAATTAATATATTTATTTTGGTACCTTTGATTATTTTCGGTTTAATCACAATAAAACATTTGTTTGACAAAAATAATAATTTAAATAAATAAATATATAATAAATCATTTTGTCTAAAAATATACGAAGGCCTTCGAATTTACTTTGTGATCAACCATAATCAATACAAAATAAATACAAGTAGCAATGATGTAAATATTGAAAATATAACCCTCTAACTATTAATTACATAATTACCCAAAGTGCCGGTCTCCGCCGAACAAATAAAAGTAATTACTAATTAATAAAAGAGTCTATAATTCTCTCATGCTTAAGAGTCAAATGCTATGACAGTGATTGGGAGTAATTACATACGACGGCTCTGGCAATATATCTCAACCTAACGTGAATCCAGTTCAAGTCTTAGTTAATAATAAGTCCATCCATAATTACCGAATATGAATAATTTATGATTACTATTTATATTCATGTATTGATCGTCATCACATACATATATAAATATCTCTTGTAATCAAATGGACAGTATCAATTCCATAATGAATTGAAACATAATACATTGAATTCAACAATTATATAAATCATAAATATTTCAGATATGTCAGGAACATATGTCACTATAATCCAAATAGGAATTTGCTATGCCAGGGCATATAAATCCCAACAGTTTTATTTTCATGGTATCACTTTTTTTTTTAATCTCTTATTGTTGTCACTCCAATGTATGATCTTTAATCAAAGTAATGGAAGATACACACACACACACACACACACACACATGTGGAACACTATAATCTTAAAGAATCATAAGTTTTTATTGATATTTGTAGATATTTATAGATTTTTGTTTTGTTGTGAGGTCTTTTAAATTTTGTTAGTATCTTTATTATTATTATTTTAGAAGTTTGTAGATCACCACACTTCCTAATGTTTTAGTAGAGTATCACATTATATACTTATGATTTTATTATAAATATATAGGCTATCAACGACAGATGGGAAAAAAGAGAGATGCATTTTAGGATCATATTGAACAATTACAAGGTCATTTAATGTGTAAGTATTGTAACTTTAACTATCCTGGAGATATTTCAAGAGTCAAATCACACTTATCTGAGGTAAAAGGTAAAGACATTAAAATTTGTTCAAAAGTACCTTAAGAGGTTTAAGCAGCTATATTTTTAGCAATTGGTGGTCCGAACAAAAAAATTAAGACTACAGTTACTCCAATTGATGTTCAGCAAGGTGAGTCTATTAATTTTTCCTCTTCATCTTCAAAGGGCTTTCAATAGAATTCTAGCTAAAATTGATAGGGTTTTTACAAATGATGCTTAGTTTCAGCTTTTTACAGGTACTAAAATGTCTTACTCAGCTTCTACCTCTTCTGATCATTATGGGTCATTATCAACATCTTTAGACAATTTGCTAGTGGTCCTAAGCCATTCAAAATGTTAAAAATCTGGTGTTTGCAAGAGGGTATTGTGGAAGTGATTCAAAAAGCTTGGGATGATGAGGTTTTAGGGAATCCAATTCATATATTGCTCAAAAAGTTGAGAAATGTTAAGGCAGCTATAAAGTATTGGAACAAGACTACTTTTGGAGATATTGCAAAGAAGGGTATTCAATCAAAGTAGCATTTGAAAGATATTCAAGTGGACCTCTTAATTTCCTCTACAGATGTCTTATTTGATGAAGAGTAAAATGTTAGAGACATCTATCAGGATGCTTTGTCATCTCAGGAGATTCTATATGCGCAGAAGTCAAGGATTTTATGGTTAAAGGAGAATGATCGATGTTCTGGTTTCTTTTATCATAAGTTGAAACAGCACCAACAATTCAATGCTATTACATCTATTGAAACTGATACTGGACATGTTTTTACTGATCCATCTGTGGTTAGTAAAAATTTTGTGGATTATTATCAAGATATTTACAAAGGTGCAGAGGTTAATGGTCCATTTGATATTCAAACTAGGTATCTGTTATCAACTGAAGACCAATTGGTTCTGGATGCCCCTATAACTAATAAGGAAATTAAAGATGCTATTATGAATTTCAAACCTGATAAGGCTACAGGTCCAGATGGCGTTCCTGCTCGATTTTTTCAATCTTTTTGGTCCATTGTGCAGACTGAAGTGTGTGCAGCTGTTCATCACTTTTTTAATTCAGGAAATCTGCCTATAAGGGTGAGTAGTTCCCAAAGTCAATAATATTGTTAAGCCAAAAGACTATCGGCCTATAGCTCTTTGTAACTTAGTTTACAAGATCATTTCTAAGATTTTGGCTGTAAGACTTCCTCTGGTTTTGCCTAAATTAGTTGGATTGGAGCAGAATGCCTTTATAAAAGGTAGAAAAATTCAGGATGCTATTATCATGGGGCATGAAATGGTTAGTGAATTCAAATATAAGCATCCTATTATGGCTCTGAAAGCTGATATCTCCAAAGCCTTTGATTCAGTTTCTTGGAGTTTTCTTTTAAAAACTTTGACAGTTGCTGGTTTTAGTTCTAATTGGATTAAATGGATCTCCAATCTTCTATCATCTTTCAAGGTTTTCTTAATATATTTGGTAAGGCCTCTGGCTTGAAGATTAATTATCAAAAGACAAGTGTTATTTGTTCTAAGGCTGTTAGAAGAAGAAGAAATATTCTTGATTTGCTGCAATGCAAAGAAGAGTTGCTTCCTTTGAAATATTTAGGCATACCTTTGTGTTCCACAGGTCTAAAGAAAGCTTATTGCAATGTGCTTATTGACAAAATTTCAAAAAAGCTCACTGTTTGGAGTAACAATTTACTGTCAGTTACAGGGAAGGCCGAGTTAATTAAGACTGTTATTACTCCAATTTGT